ATGCAATATATCAGCTAGAGAAGGACATTATAAACGAGAGTTTCAGCCGGATTCAATTCAATCTTATATTGAAGCCAAATTCGTAAGCACATGTGAGTAGCTGGAAAAATTCTGTCCAGTTTGGGTTCAAGTAGAACATAAGATTGACGGAAGCTAGGGGCTGCACCCACCAGTTGAGCTCCAAAGGGGGTTGAAACCGATCTTGGACCGTCGGAGACTTTCAAACGACCTTATGGACGGTGTGTCACGTCTAGACAATGGAGAAGGCTGTTTTACCAAACTGTAAGCTGTTGACATTTAACCCTCTTGTAGTCACCCTGATGATTAAAAACAAGTAGCTCTCATCAGAATAGTGAAGCTCAAATAAGTTAACTACCATTCATCTTTGTCTTGGAAGAATTTATAATCCAGTCGTTTTTAATTACAAGACAAACCATTGACTGTCCTATTTCAGCATTCGATGTGGTCAAACTATAGCTTTCTGATTCCACCAGGAGGAGATCAACCGGGACGAGAGAGACATCAAAATGTTAGGGGATATATTCGCGTAGGGATTTGTATGATGACTGATCAAGCTAATTTAATTCATGTTTAAAATTCCGAAGTGTAATTTTCAAACTGAAGTAAAATTCTATCAAAGAGTTGAAAAGTTTCATGAGTAAGATGCAATTAATCTTTCATTTATTGACACCAGTACACTATCAAAGCAAGTTGGCGCCTAAGTGTCAGCTAAACATGGGAAAATGTCCTAGTTAGGTGCCCAAAGAAAGGGAAGGTGTAAGACCCAGTACAACGTTCCTGGAGAAAACAATCAAAATAGAGTGTCCACTCCTTTGTGCAAATTTGAGAAATAAAATAAAATAAGCATATGGGTGTTGGTAAGTAACTTACAGCAGGACAACTCAGAATCATGTATAAAAATCTCCGACATAAGCTTAGTGCTTGAAGACAGAAAAGCGCTAGCCAGCCTGTGCAACTGGTATGTGATCTCTTGAGCGCTAACAGGATCGGTTACATTGCATATCCTATGGGATTCCGATAGCGCAAACGCAAAATTACCTGAATCTCAGCTGAGAGATACGAGTGAACCGGAAAAGGAATGCCTTCTGCCAGAGAGAAATAGGTTAATTTGGCGTTTTGCAGGGTCACCGAACTTGATGCTTCCCGTGGGAAGAAATCGTTGATAAGCAGCGTGAAATTCTATCAGGCTGGCTTTATGAAATAACCATTTTAGTACTAAGATACAAAGCCGAATACTATCTTGAACAATGCAATTAAATGACTATAATCTGCCAGTAAACAGACGTTTACTTGATTCGTTCAGGAAATTCGGATGTCGTACATCTTTCACGAAATCACCTACAACCAGTCGTGCATGTACTAAAATGTAAGAGGGATATCAAAAGAAATTGTGTCACAACACCCTCAGACAGCTTCTGTGCAAATTACCAGTAAATCGGTATTGATTCTTTTGTTGCTTATAGATTATTGATTAGGTAGACGAGCGAATTCTTCAACGGCATTGACTATGAAACCCACAAGGGTATTATCAAAACTAGGCAGTGGATCCACATTCGAACCAAAAAGTCAGTGTTTTCAAAAACTAATATGGCTCATTTGCTCAGCCATCTAATACACCGCTAGTTGGTATCCTTAAAATTACAGGTCACTCGCGTCGGATGAGAAATGTAATCTCTGGAAACTGGAGCGGATTTTACACCCATCTCGTACATCTAGACAGGTTTTGTCCTGCCAGACAAACCCACAAATGTACACTCCGCACAAACCAGACGACAAAATGGCCCTCTATTTGTTTAACCGAGAGGAACAGATTACAGTGAACTTGCTGCGACAGTTAAAGTAGATCAATCTACTGCTCTGATCCCCCCTGTCGAAATGTGAATGGCCTTGTCACCCGTGCGATAATGACAGAATCCACCACCGGTATCAATATGTCCCAGGTAGATTTGTCCGCTCTCCAAGGCAACCGTCACACCCAGAATAATCCAAACAATCACTCATTGCCGCTCTGCTGGTCCTCTGCAGAATTGCCTGTATATTAATAAACGAGACGTAAAAAATTAAATTTATGCTGTGTAGAATAATGCCATTGTTTTGGGTATCGATCAAAAAGCATTGGGAGGTTGATATTACGTATATAGTGTTTCCTGTTCTACACAGAGTGAACTTCTGGTTTTTCGAGGGTATCAGACAGTGAAAAATTTTTAAATCACCAAAATATATCCCCTAGTTGGGCTGTCGTATTTTGGGAGTTGCGTTAACTCATTGGGTTTATAGAACAAACAAAATCATTGTTTAACTCAAAATAATTTGCCTCACCACTGTTTAAGCAGATACAGCAACACAAAAGGAAAAACTGACGCAAAATAGATGCAACAAAAAAAATAACGATACCGCGAATACACAGTTTTAGTTGGAATAGGTTTTTTGGGGCCAGATTATTCAGTTCACAGCGCAATGATTATGTCTTCTCGACATCCATTTACACCAGCGGTAATCGACCAGATATCCAGCAAACGTGTCTATTGTGACATACATATCATCTTGTTTTTAGTACAAAACGAACATGATGAAAATTCGTGGACTGAGTCCCCAGAATATCGAAACTGTTATTAACCTACCCATACCTATCATGGACCCAATGATTGGCATATATCGAGATAATTATAAGACAACTTCAGCTTCTTTTCATAAAGGAAGCTACTCATAAGGTTGCTGGGAACTCTTCAGTAGCCAACGACCAATTTCGCCCCTCTCGAGGTTCATCAGGTAGGCACAGTCCTCGAGTTTTCGTCAACACTCAGTTGACGGACATCATAAACGAGAGATCCAGTTGAGTTTCTCGTGAAAACCGAACTGATTTACAAATGAGTGTATTTGTCAAAATTAGTCCAATGTGGACTCAAGCTGACTCAAGCTACCTGATAAGCCTCTTGAAAAACGAAACCGGACGTGAGCTGTGGAACAGTTTCCCGTAAACTTGCGAGTAGTTTTCTTTTAAAAAGATCTATTGCGATATCTTGAATATCGCGCGCATCTCATGAAACTCCGGACAGCCTCGAACCCGCGACCTCCCGGCTAGTAGTTTGAACACTTAACCGTTCGGTCACGAGTGACTGAAAAGCAGTGTGATTAACTCGCACTTAGACTGGATATAGCGCCTCTCATCCTTCAATCACGGGATCTACATCACGCGGTCACACGCGCTGACTGGATCCTCGGGCAATGGCTTCTCAGATAGAAGTTTCACCCACCGGGTGAAGTTCATTCTTCCGCTGAGCTACTTATAGATTGTTGTTAGTGTGTTATATGCAGTGCCAAGATCAGCTCTCAAACCAAATTCACAATATTTTGAGATGTATTTAGGGGTTGTTATGGACTTCCAAAATATACAGAGGACTCCCCCTCCTCTGCATATAGTTTAACACAGAGGGAGAGAGAGCAAACGCAGAGAGAACGGATTTAGTCAGATAAGCATCTTCGGACACCTGTATATATATCTATATATATAGCGCTTCCTTCACAAAATGACCCTATTCTTCTAATGAAACACTTGAAAAGGAGACGGTCTTAGGAATTACAGTTCCCCCATTCCGTATTTACAGAGCCTTCTTTTTTTATGATAAAAACTCACCTCACAAACATGAGTTTACAATGCAAACCCTCTGTGTTGAAAAAACCCTCCAGCAATGGAACAGGCAAAGCTCACTCGCAGGATAACATCATCACAGAAAGAAAACAGCCACAATTGGAGGGTTGACAGTGTCAATTACTAGCCTGTCTTCAGTTTACCTTCTTGATAAGGCAAAATGGATTGAGTCCTGTTTATCACACGCCAAAGGCTGATAAAGGATCGTCTCTGAACGCGACTCAAGTCTTTGGACCTACTGTAGCTATGATGTCAGGGTGATGGTCACATTACGGAGCCGCAAGGTTCGGTGAAGTGAACTTCACCAACCCTGTGCAAAGGTCGAAAGATTTCCTCAGGCATGACTACAAACTCAAGCGACAATCAAAATGATGACTGGATCACCAAGGAAACTAAAAACTGGGGTTCTCTGTAGGCTCGAGTAGAAATTCCCCCGCCCAGAATCGTTTCGGGAATAACGTCAAATCTTTTCATTGGTTCACTGGAAACTTTCAAAAAAGTGTACGTATGAGAGGTAATAGGTGCACTTCTCTTGATCTGTCCGAAGGTTTATTCTGAATGAGAATGGATTTCATAAACTTAATACACTACTCATAATGCTACTGAAAATTCATAGACAACCCATGGATTTCAGTGGGGGGGGGGGTATAAGTACCATTCCATGAAGTTGCGTACGGGCTTCGACAACACATTCACCTCAATTATTCACAGGTTTTTTCTCATTCTGGTGTTATTATTCGGCCGAATTCCCGATCAGATAGCAACCTGGAGAAGATGTTGTATGGACGCTAGACACTGGTTTCGCCAAAAGACAGAGGGCGCTTCATACTTTGGAGAAATCAAAGCAGCGTTTTCTTAATTTTTTGGCTCTCAAAAGCCATTCTCGGGTAACTGTATAGGTGAGATACGCTATGTGATGGACAGGATGCGGTCAGCATAAAGTCGCCGTTTTTTTATCAAAACACATTTAATCAGACAATTTCACGGTTTTCCAAATATGTAAGTTTTGGTATACGCACAAACCTCCACTGTTTTGATCCTGTTGAGGTTCTTCAAACTCTGGTTCTTCCAAATTGAATTATTTCTTTCCCGAAGCTCAACTAAACAAATATCGTAAGCATAAATAGCCTGTCAAGCTGTTTTGTGACGAAACATTTTCAAGTCAACTGCCAAGCTTGACGAGACGATCAGCAGTCACTCGATCAGAAGCTAAAAAGACACCCAAGCTTTCAGTATGGTGACATATTGTTGCAAAATTTATCGCATATTTCAAAGTGTGATTCAATTGTCTAGTCTGATCTTGTTTTCCTAATTTTATCCTTTCTTGCAGGAAATTGTGTGAGCATCTAATACCCACAACTTTATGATGGAGAGTGTTGCGGAGCCTGGCACGGGTTTCTTCACTAATTTCGAGTCAGAAAACGACAAACGACCTTCCGTTGCTAACACGAAAAGGACACTAATCGAATGGGTCAGGACACACATGGATCGATCGATGTTGGTGTTCCAATTGTTCTACTTCTTTTTCTACGCCGCGTTTGGTTCACTTTTCCCACTGATTTCGATATACTTCAAGCAATTGGGACTGAACGCAATTCAGTGTGGAATTCTCAGTGGAATCCGCTCGTTTGTAGAGTGCCTAGCAACTCCGTTTTGGAATGCCTTGGCTGATAAGTGGAAGAAGGGCAAATCTTTTTTGATCGCAAGCCTGGTGTGTTCTATGTCCTTCACACTTGGTCTTGGATTCGTCCGACCCTCACCCGAGGGTTGTCTGGTTCGACTCCCGTATTATGATGGTTACAACGAAACATCCGGTGCGCCTTTGACAATTATCGGTCCCTATCGATCATTGAAGTATGACGACATCAGATCAGTCGATATGACTCGAGATATGGCGCTTAACATCAAGAACAAAATAGGCCAATCGCCGCTGTATTTGAATACAAGAAAACTCGTAGATCCGCCGAAGGCTGAACCTGGTGGTGGCAGGAGGACATTCGTTGATCAGAGTATGTTTGAAGCCTCTAACAACTACCGAAATCCGACACACTACCCTCCAGGCAGCCTCGTAATGCCACTGTACTCAACCGTGGTGTATAGTCAAAACAAAATCAACCAAATTTTCATAATCATCATACTGTTAGTGTTGTTTGGTGAATTGCTCTCTTGTCCTGCAATACCTTTAGTAGACGCTCTGGTTGCCGAAAAGACGCATGTGCAACCGACTAGCCTGTACGGTCAGCAACGTACATTCGGATCTATCGGGTGGGGCTTGGCCATGTTTTGCATCGGTCTTGCGTTGGATAACGCCAGTCGGTTTCCGGACTACCCTTGTCTGGATCCGGGAAAGCGTGAAAAGAATTACATGGTGTGTTTTGCTACGTATTCTGTCTTCATGGCATTCGCCCTATTCACAGCTACTCAGCTCTCATTCACGTACGAAGGTGATCAAGAGAGTATGTACTTTAAAATGGTCAAGGATAAAATGGCCAGGACTTTACTTGGTCGGACGACGAAAAATCGATCGAAGTTGGTTAATGAAGAAAACGATGTAGAGGAGGAAGCATGGAAATCAGAAACTGACCGAAATCAGTCGAAGAGTGCTCCGACAAACGAAGAGATTCTCGAAAAGCAACTTGGCATCAAACTCGGCGGAGCTGGCACGCAAACGATGCATGCGGACAAAACGGATACTGTACCAGAAGAGAGCTATATAACATCTGCTCACCTGAAAGTGAGTAAATGATGGTCTGGTTTCACATATTTTTGGGAGTTTTACTAAATTTCAAAGCATATCTTTCCTCAGACTTCTTGGCTACCGAGCAGTAGAATTCTAGCCCACGACGGACTGGTCTCGGATGAACCGCGTAAATTAATCTATAGTGACAGTTACCTTAAAGACTTGAGAATGAACGGCGGTAACCTGATTCGTGATTTTTTTTTATCTGTCTTGTGAGGACTGAAAAATTTGTTCGACAATGCCTGAAAGCGAGTAAATTTCCTGAGAAAAACGCAATGCGAACACAAGAAATGCCGGTTTCAAAGACAGTTTCAAACACGGAACCCTCCATTCATCGGGAGGAAAATTTGAACGTTCGTCATCTTAATGTTAGCCTGCTTTCGAATAAAGGGATATGGCATCTGGCCAAAATGAAAACATTAGTTTGCCGAGGAAAAAATTTACTACTTTGAAGTGTACAACATTCTTCAGCTGATTATTAATCCGAGGAAACCGGCCAAACGATTCAACGTGGCGTGACACAGAAAACGACAAGCAGAGGAAAACTGGTCATGAGACCATAGAACTACACAGAGTACCCAAACAAATTGGGCAGTAAAGTTCCTTCTAGCATTCTGTGTTCAGTGGCTACTGTGTAAGAATCGTACTTCAAAGGGACTGACTTGAGTTGATAAAATAATATATACTGTGCACAATATAAGAAATTAATATATGAATTAAAGTTTCTGTCGCATGCAACCAGGGTTTTGAATGACCACATGAAAGGTTGTCATCCTCCGAGAAAGAAAAATTTTCAGCGGGCTGGTACTGATAAAATCGTCACATATGTGACAAATCCAACCTGTGAGTTTGAAATCTTTAATAACTGAGTAATCTTATATAAGGTCTACTTCCTACAGAACGTAAAGTGAGTAGTCGAGGAAGCAAGTGACTTGTAGGAGACACAACTGAGTTCAGATATCACGTACTAAGTATCTAATGAGAGTGGGGTCTAACTGAATTGCGAAGTGCGTAGTAGGTAGCCGTTAGTGTTCACTGGCTAGCTGATGTAGACCTGTAATCAAGGTCAGTTCAGTGAGATTTGAGAATTACTGGACAGATATTAGAGGCTTTCAATCAGGACTCACGGCCGACAGGATTATATTAGGAAAGACCGAAAATTTTCATTCATAATTTTGAGTATGTTGACTGTAGGTTGACAAGCGGTAGAGTGAAATGACAAGTAGAACACACGATGTAGCATAAGCTGACCAAAAGAGCGGATTTTCAATGAGAAAGCGACAGATAACAGAATCCTGAAGCAAAATTCTCATGACGGGAGGCTGGTTTCGAGCCTCGGGAAAAGGACGTTGATCGGATAACGAGGTCAGGATATCTAGGATATTTTGTTCATATCAAGCCACAAATAACTTACACAGAGGACCAATTCAGGGCGTGGAATGGTCGGAAGATAACTGTGGATTCGATCTTAATAACAGATAAATGTAACAGCCGAACAGAATCGCTCCTGAGGAGACAGTAACCGGAAGGTGAAGATAGCAGATTCCTAAGAACAAATCAGGAGATGAAGCTTGGACAACTCCAGCCCACATGGTTGCTCGCGTCCAGCAGAAAGTACATTGTTAAACGACTTATTTACTATTACAGAGAGCTATTTGGCTGCAATTGAATGCTCACCAAATCAGTCTACCCACCTAATTCAGCAGTAATACTTCAAGTGACAGTGTTTTTCGTGTTTTTCTGGCGGACAGCCTCATCATGGTGTGTATATTTGCGCCAACTTCTCCGGCAACAGTTTCACCCAGCTTCCTACACCTGCCAGGTTTCTCAGGAAAGTTGGGTACCTTTGGTAGCAGAGTACTTGTAGTGCGCCTTGATGGTATAAATAGACAAATGAGTTAGGTGTTTGTGTGAGAGAAAGGCCAATAAATCGACCGGTTCTAGCAATTTAATTTAACGCTACCAACCTGCTTGAAATGGCAGGCGACTACAGCGACTACTGTAACCGTCAGCCTTTGCATCTGGTATCTTAAAATGTACGATGCTTTGACACGAATACATGGTTACCTCGATACACTTCCGTGCATTATAACTACAACTTGTGAGGTATTACGTGAAAAATTCGGGATTTCATATACATATACACAAATAAAAACCATTTAAGATTAGGACACACCATGAGGACATCTTTCGTAGATAACTTTAGAAAATTCGACTGTGATATAACGACTGAGTAGGTGTGGTCCGGTCTGCGACCTATGCACACGCTCTTCGTCAGGGCCGCTGGACCGCTGGTACACAGTTGAATGTGCTATCATTCTCCTAAGGGACTGTGAAGCAGTGTCTGGCAGAAGGCAATATCGGCAGAAAACTATACTCAGCTAGTATCTTTCTATGAAGTGCATTGGGGCTGCGGCGAATGCACTCATTTGCGTATCAATTTAGTTTCTGTCGATGGGAGATTCACCTGCATCTCTCGCTTCCGATATATATATATATATACGAAATACTGCGTCTGCTCTTTACTTTGAATTAGAAGAAGCGATTTATTTCCAGAATACCGACAATAATTCAGCCTTCATCTACCGAAAGCCTATCTGGACAGGAGCACAATTTCACGTGCCTCTGGCTCGTACAACTCTACACTGAGGGACCTATATGCGTTTCAGGTAGGCTTGCCATGAATGCTGAATTGCTAAAACACATACTCACTGCCAAAGATCTATCCTGTCCCCCTTCGTTGCCTGTCAGTGTGCAACAGATAGGTATAAATAACAGTAGTAAAAAAGTTTATTTTCAACACTGGTGATTGTGATTTTATTCTGTTTAAACGGACACGAAACTTAGCCCTGCGCTTAGCTGACCATCAGGGTCTAAACAGGGGCTATGCAGGTGCTCCCGACTAAAACTGCAACATCAGGACTATTAAATGGTTATTGCATTTACTATCCTTCCTGCAGTTGTGAGAATGCGTTTACTGGTGGGACCAATCACAAGTTAGAAACGTAAAGGGAAGCGCATCTGCTTAAAAGAATTCCTTGCCTCTAGGCTTATCCTGATATAACTCGGAGGGAGCCAAAAATGAAATAATCGATTGTCAGGTAACCGTTAGAGACAGGTCACAGAGTTACCTTCACTGTTTTTTCCGGGATTTAACTAGAATTTATCCGTACAACCCCAGACAGCAATGTTTGTTGACGAACTACTGTATTGAACAAATGGATTTGCCTTTGATAAAAGTATTAAAGACAACAATTTTCTGTTTCGGTTAACTTTCAGGTGACCAAATGGGTACATGCAATGCACCAGTTCTGCAAACCTCGCCTGCTTGCCTTCCTGTTTGTCACGTGGTTCATGGGTCTTGGTGTAGGACAGGTGTTCACCTTTTTGTTTTGGCACGTACAAGAACTGGACGGATCGCCTACTTTGTTTGGGATTGCCACTATCATTAATCACGTTTCCGAGATCGTCATGTTCTACTTCAGTAAACAAATAATCGATAAAATTGGTGAGTGTTCCAAAATTGCTCATTGTTTATGCTTTACAAGGCTAGCCCCCAAAATGTTTTTCGAGACTAACATCTAAGTATCAGCCGATGATCATCTTGTCAGGCATTCAATAACAGCTACCCGTAAGGATCGCCAACTATGTTTCATATCAGAGCCAACTTGATTAAGCTAGATAAGAAACCGAAGGGAAATACAACAGCTAGTCAAATAGATTGACTTCTGTCTGGCGAAGTTTTACTTGTCACAGCACATAGAAAGGTTTTCTGAGAAACAGATGTGTCTGTGTATCGTGGAACAGATTGATGGAAACTTAGGAAGCGCTCTCTTGGCTATCGAAGAGTTTCAAACAGGTTCGTAGTAGTTTCCTTCCAGAAAATACACCGCGATATTTCAAAAATTGTACCGGCGGAAACGTGGGACATCTAGCTAAAGAATATCACAAACGGAAGACCCTGTTTTGAATCAGTTATGCATTCTGTGAAGACCAAATTAGTGTACAAACGAGTGTTTCGCATGTAGTCTGGGTATGATGTGTGTTGGAAAAGAAACTAAGAGATTCAAGGGGAACTAAGGAAATTTTGGAATGAAATAGTTGAGTTTAGTTAATCTTTCCTTAGACACTCATCTTCATTCCCCACGTGTTTATCTGTAGAAAAGAAAGTTTATTAAAAGCCGGCAAGGTGTGAACTTTTTTAGACCAACTGTAGGCTTGAAACAGAAGCGTTTCGTACTCAGCTGCAGTGTGTTCCAAATAGCCTGGTGAAGTTGGATGGCGTGGCACTAAATGGCAAATTGTCAGTGTGGCCCGCAGAATTTAAACGGATGACCTACTACTGTCTGTCATTTGAATATTCATTGTTGGGTTCCGAAGATCGATCGAAGAATACGATGGACATACTACTCTATTCTCCAAGCCCAATAATTAGACAAACTGCATGTATAATCTGTCTGGTTTGGAACTGTAAGCGTTTTCTTTACATTTTTGAGCGATCGTGCAGTGCGAGAAACGAAAGAATATACTTTCAGGTGGCGAGTATTTTTACGACAGACAGAGAACCTAACTTCAAACAAAGATTTACTAAATACTGGAAATAATGGATACGCAGTTATTCATGCCAGTTTTTTTATAACTTGCAGGTCATCTGCGTGTGCTGTACTTGGGCTTGTTTGTTAACATTGCTCGGTTTCTATTTGTATCCTGGATCACAAATCCGTGGTGGATTCTGCCATTTGAGTTGGCTCAAGGTGAGTTGTTCATCTTAATATACGTCAACGTTATCTATCGTTTTATATTGTAATTCGGCTGAAAAGTAAACGAATATTTTCTTGCAGGAGGATAACACTATGAGGTTTGGCAGTTGTGTTCCTGCAGTGATTTCAACTAAAGCGGTTTAAAATAATTGTACCTTGCTTTATCTTTGTGATGAGAGGCCTTATCTTTAAATGATGGTTCAGCCAACCGTCGACTGCACGAGAACAGGACAAGCAGTAATCCTATTTTAAATCGAATTATAATTTTGCATTATCTCACCGGTTGTTCACACACACACACACACACATACACACACACACTGAGCTTTCAAAGGAGGACTGAGTTGTGGATAAAATTTGGACAAACGTATGCAAAAATTGGACAAACTAAATTGCTAATGGACAGAGAAAATCGTAAAACGGCGAGAAGTCACAAAATTTTAGATTGCCTTGATGCTATGGTGAAGTGGTAAGAGAATTTGTGACAGGATTACTGATCGTTCCTCGGTAATTAGAGTGTCTCACACAGATTGGGTTTTATTGCTGATTTGTTAGCGCCTCAGCGAAGCCTAAGAGAGGGTGAACTTTTTCGTTAATAAAGTTGGAAGACCTGTGATAGATATAGATTTTATTATATCATACCAATGCTATGCAAGCCAGTTGTTGTTCTTCACCCTCCTCTGGCTATCATGACAAGTTCGGGGGATGAAACTCGGTTAAACCTTGCTGGTATGATGGAGGGGAGACGTCTACTGGTCTTTCATCAATCAACTAACCTGAAAGATAATAAAAGATAAGTTTCTTGTGATCCACTTAGTCCTACATCGATACCATATTAGTGAAGAACGCTACCTATGCAGGAAACTGAGGTCAGGTGACTTTTGTTTTCTGCTGCAGGCATTCAATGAAAAACAAACGGAAGGACGTGCATAATTGATTTAATAATGAATGACAACAAAGGAATCACAACAGCTTAAAGACCAAAAGTAATGAGCGGCGCTGTAATTCTGAAAATAAGAAGCGGTTCCGCCCGGTATAATAGATCAGGAAGGTTTGGCAAGAAATGTTGCAGTGCAGTTGTAGTTCCGAACGGATACACACACCTCAAACTGTGCGGGAAAATAAAGAACTTTAGACGAACATAGTTGGTGATTAGAATGAATAAATAAAATAATAAGCAACAGTAACCAACAGGAGGGTGACCGATGGGATAAGACGCACCAGTCATTCCCAAGCTAGTAAAATTACAAGTGAATTGAAAAAACTTCGTACAGAGAAGGTTCCCGCCCACTCTACTGGATGTGCTGTATAGACTAAATCGTTCCATAGACTGTTCAAGTCATCTTTCGTGCACTAATTTCCGAGAGGATTAGTACGCTTTCTTCAGAATTTGAAAAATGATACAGTCATTGATAGATACTTCACAGACCCTATTAATACATGTTGGTCTTATGTACAATATCTGTGGTGGGAATCACAGTGCTGCCCACATAGAAAATACGTTTAGACTACCTGATATCCTTCGCAATCCATAATCTAGAAAACGGTTTGGCCGATGCCGTGGTGGTAAACCCTAGTGATTTTTACCATGATCGGCCAATTCAAAAAGGCCTACCAGTGTGTGCGGGACGGATGTGTAAAGCACATCCCGCCTATATCATCCGGAAACCCGGTCAGTTGGTGTGCGCCCTGTGGTTAACGCTTATGGATACTAACCGGTATTGCTACTAGATGAACTGAACTACAACAATTTCATTGGTCACAATTTCATTGTGACCAATCAAACGACCGGTTGAAGGTCGCTCATCAACATGATTTGTCAAGCTCCGTTATAATACTCTAATCCTGATGTGGTGCTTTTCAGCTAAACCTCAGCCCAACCATTCAGTTTACTGTTAACTGATCCAACCTCGAGAAAGGAGGCATTTGGACGTTGCAATGACATAGTTATTGGTGTATTAGGTTGTCTAAAATTCTGCCTTGAGTCTTAAGCTGATTGTATTTAGTCATCAGATGCGGCAGCTCACAATTATTGAACTTTACCCAATCCGTGCTGATGTTTTTCTTGCTCTCACAAAGTTACTGGCGAAAAGAGCCAAGCGAAACAATTTTCCCGGAGGTTGTCAGCTTGTTGCATTCATTATTTAGGAGCTTTCGTGTTTTGAGTCAAGACTTTTCTGACTGTAGGTTGAATTTTTCCACTCAGTTTTGTAATCTGAGGTCATAGCCTATGTAGTGTGAGTGTTTGTTACGTTAATCCCGATCTTTTTCACCAGGTTTTGAGATATTCGGTGGATTTGGAATCACGAAGAAAAGTGCATAAAAGTGGTCTTGTATAATAGGGTGATTCACAACAACAGACATCCTAGTGATTGTGGCTCCGATGTCATGGTACAAATAAGACCACCAGATAAATTAGTTGTAAAGCAACGGATAAATAAATGATAAAAAATGCACAACCAGATTCTGTGCCTTCAGTCATTCAGCTAAAATAAGGCAGAACGGCAGCAATGTGATAGGGACTCAGAAGAATGCAAAAAAGTGAGGGCAAATGATTCAAAACATTTCCATTTTGAAAACATAGCTGAATATAACCTTCTATGCAACACTTTGTCACACAATATATGGAGAGGTGTTTTTTTCGTTAGCATATATCTGAATCCAAAAGCAGCACCAGTGAGAACATCATTACAGTCCAGATTAATCAATTGCTAGCATGCGCAGCAGGAGCCAAAGCAACAGAATTTACGAACCATGACGGTTGAAAACATAAGATTGGACAAATTTCACCCGTGGATATGGTGAACAATCTCACAGTGTTCTGATTTGATGGAAACACATCCCGGAGGACGTTGTCGAACGTTACAACACAATAATATTTTTAGTAGGATCGCGAAAACAAAAGTTCCAGGCTTTCTTCCTTAATGTGCTTCAATAGGTTACCATTAAGGAGATCGGGTGAGCACAAAGTGTCTCGCGAAGACGGTAGTTTGTGAATACAATTACATCTTTGCGACAAATATCCAAATTAAAATAAGCTGCATTGTTTGGCATTTATGAGATCTGCCGAGAGGGTCGGCTGCTAGTTAGTCGTATTGTTCTTCAGTGATCGGCAGCCGATGGAAACCCCCCCCCCCCTCCTTTGTCTGGTACAGATAATTCCGTGCATTTCCAGTTTCTGGTGCTTCCTTGTTGAGAACAAGGCAAACTCGTCAACGATGTATGATCGGACATATTTTTAAATCACCAAATGGGATGCAGTACACGAAATGCCTCAAAAAACATTTGTTTTTAACTCGTATGGTCCACAATATCGTCCCTTTTCGTGCTCCTATTATTCATTTTTCTGGTAATAAAATAAATTCAGCATTTTCAATGTTCCATTTTCAGATGCTTGAGACTCTGACTAGGGTTGCAATAAAAATTTTGCTCTAAGCCACCTCACTCAACACTTTCCGTTAGACCTGTTTCATCCGAGTCTGTTCCGTAAAGTCACGAGATTAGAACGCACCCAAACTGAGAAGTGCGTAAACTAACAAGGCAGCTTGTGGGCCTGGATTGGATCGACTGCATCAGCCTCCTGTGATTTTGTCTGGTCTCACACTTCTGCACCAATTTGGTCGGAACAACTGTTTGGTTTTGCAGCTTTCACGAACGTTCAAAGCATTTTGAAGAAATGACCTTCAGGAGTGACAGATCTCCGGACAAGTACAACTGATGTATCTTTTATCATTCCTTAGAGATGATTTTGACCTCATTCATGGTCCAGAGTGAAGGCTGGTTTATTCAGAGCCATATTTTAGCGGGATGTTTGAGGAATCAATGAGTGGTCTTTCTACTGAGGCCAGACTTCTAGTTAAACTAGTCCTTATAATGGGCCAACCACACCATCTGTTAGCTTACAGGGAATACGTTGATAAATAAGCTGTATTTTATTAGGAGGTCTATCGTGTGGTGAACAGTACGATCAAATGAACAGTGAACTGTTACTTCACCTGTGAACGTGATAATATTTTGCTGTCCAGGAAGAAATGGCCATCCTTGGTGTTAAACAAAAAGTCGTGACAGAAGTCAACAAGCCCAGTTAGATTAATTTATATATCATCCGTAAGAATATTGATCCAATTCGGCTTACAGCCATCCAGTTTAATCCGCTATAAGCTGGACAACGTTGGTTCCTTTTTTCTGAAGCCATATTTTGTGGGACAATCTTAAAAAAGGAGGGGGGGCGAATTCCATTTTCTCTGTAAAATAAGTATACGTTTTCCAAAAGTACAATTTGTGGAAGCCATTAGATGAAATGAACAACTTCCGTCCATAATAAATCTGACAGATAACCAAAAGTCTAATTTTATTTCAACTTAACTAGGTCTCACACATGCCGGTGTTTGGGTCGCCTGCTGTTCCTACATCACACAAGCATTTACTCCGGAATCTCGATCGGCAACTCTGGGCTTCTTGAAGGTTGTTCATTATGGCCTTGGACGTGGTCTTGGAGCTTGCCTCGGAGGACTCGTAATTTCGAGTTACGGTAATTCATTTCTTGAAGTTTGATAATTCTGGCAGAGGTGAACCATCCATGTGGTGACTGGTGATGACGAAATGCGTCCTCTAAAAAGGACGATAGCTCAAAGAATGCCAGTATTTCAAAGTGATTTGTTCTTTCACCTCCCTGAAATCACATACTAGTGGTGATGAGGAAATTTTAAGCTATCTGGATATCCGAAATGTCATCAAAAGGTATTATGTTGCTAGAATGCCGAAGCGCCTTTGTTCAATTTGGTATAAGTGATCTACCTACTTATTTAGTTCGGAAATCATTCGAGAAATGCATGCCTTGATTTCCCTCCTAGAGAATCACATTTGAAGTCTTATTCTGGTTAGACCCTCGGCGCCGTTTTTTGTTTTTTTTTTTGAATTGTCCATAATCTGGCAAATTTCGTTGTAGTGACCCATTCATTTCCTTAGTGTGTAAATGAACTCTGTAGGTCTGTGAAAGTTATCGCACGAGTGCTCCACCTGCTTTAGCACAACTGTCTTTTGGGAATAAACTAAACATGCCGCAAAACACACGTGACCGAGTTTGACCTAATTCTTTTATAGAATATTGATAGGCCTGGAAATTTCAAACAAAAACTTGTGCAGTGAGTGAATATCATCTTTTCCAGAAAGCGAGGAAAACTGTACAGATTCTTCATCTTTATCACGAATCATCAGCCGTAAGCTCTTCAGGAAACTCCTGAAGGTCTCGAATCATCCACTAACAGGTCTATTTACACCCTCAACAAACCACAGGCAGCTCAGAGGAAACAGCTCATCAGTTGCAGATGTGTTGTAGAGGGCTTCGGGATTTGTAGAATTCACATGCAGCGGCTCGTAGCCGAAAGATTTCCTCTTCATCCACCAGCCTAGAGGACTCGAGTTACAAAATTGCCGGAATTTGGCAAGGGCTAACTGCTGATGATTTCACACAAGGATGAAACCGCTGTAGATAGCTGTTTGGTGAAGAAGGCATGGAAGGATAAAATCCAAAGGCTGAATGCGAAGGGAACTCTGCAACAGTAATAAATTTAAACAACAACTGCCTAATGTTCTTTTACGAATTTATAGAACTTAGTGTATTCAAGAAACGTTGTTGTAGCTAATAGAACTCAAACGAACTACTGCATGTACCTCTCAGTATTCCTGTATTCTGTGAATAAAAACAGCACAGAAGTGTTTGAGTGTCTTGTCGTCGGAGGTATGTTGTTGTGTATATTGGTTTCGAAGCGGGTGGATCGATTATGAGTTGATCACGGTTTCGAATAAAAATAGTATCGTGTGGCAAATTGCTATCCAGTTTGTGATATTTGCTATTGATCTGGTCTGGAGCTGGAAAATTGGCGAATCAACATTTCGCCAAATTCAGCTCCTTTTTGTTTGAAAATCAGTCTGTTGTAAACCAATACCATAGTTGAGTTCCTTGCTCCGACACAGCGCAGTCAGTATTTCGGTAATACAACCGAATTAAGGAAGTAAAACACCACAGCTCGAATAAAAAGTATCAAATGCTGATGAATGTATCTATCTTCATCGTTTTTTGCATATAATCAGTGTAGATTGCCACATTTTCGAGAATCGCCGCCTGTGTTTGGATGAAATACTGTCCCTATAAACCCGGGCCCGATCCTCCATTGACATTCTACATTTGACTCCCTGTCTCTTTACTGAGTATTTTTGTACATATTGATGCAGAAATGGGGCTGTAAGAGAGCAAGTCAGAAAGATAGAAAAGCATTTTCAAATTTTTTGATCTAGTTATCTGTCGATGAACACTTCTATGACTAGTTCCCTCAAGGAAACTGTTTTAACTACACAGCCCTCGAACCTAGTTAGGTTTCACATAGCGCAAACTTGTTATTACCGCCACACAGACTTGAAGTGTCTTTCACGTTTCAACCTGTTGCAATTATATTTATCACTACCGATTTAGGAAGTGCGACCATGTTTCGTTCGTACGGTGCGGCGTCAGCGGTGGTTTTGCTTGCGTTCTTGGTACTGAACTATGTAGCTCCAATTCCCGCCGCACAGCCAGAACACACCGATGGCGAAGGACTTGACGGGAATGTGGTAGGAAGCTACGGCCAGTTGAATCAACCACAACCAACCTCTCCGTTTGGTGAGTTTGCCGTTAATCTTTGGCCAAAGACATAAGGAAAGACCACATTTTTCACACAATTTGCAGTTGAATCGTTGAGTAGAATAAACACTTCACTGCTTGCATCGTGATCTAAGGACAGGTGCATATAACCTACCCTGATTGGTTAGCCTCACCAATCCTAAAGCTGTCATCACCACTGCAAGTCCGTTGCATTCAAGTGCTCATTGTCATTTGTGGATAGATATCAAGTCTCACCAACTCCTAAGGTATATGATGTAATCCTGACACCCATATCCGAACTTAATGGGTAGCAATCTGTCTTGAGTATTCCCCTGCAGTTGCTTAGTGTCAGTCAAGTACAGTGCGACAGTTATCACATAAGCTGAGCTAAGTTTGAACTTCGTAGGGTGTAATAGCTTCATCCTGTCAATGACGTTTATGTGCTGAAGAGCCAAGAAGCAATGTATAGTTGTTCAATCCTTATTGGGAATCATCAGTAGTGCGAAACCATGAAACTCAGGGTTTCAAGGCCACAAACATCTGGCCAAAGTTTGAATTCCAAATCGTTTGGCCCTGAGCCAATGATCACCAGTGTAATCATTCCTTACTTTTGTGAATCCAGTCAAGTTTTCCCAGAAAGTGCATTCAACCTGGCCGGCATAAGAATAGCGTACCAACTGTCACCGAAGAAGTGGGTACCCCAGTTTATTTGTATTTATGAACACCTGGTTCATCCCCTGCTGCTTGGCCAATCGTAATCAGTCTCCTTATGTTTGTCGTACATACGAGAACTCAATGACTCTATTGTTTGCAAAGTTATCCGATCAAGTCGATTCATGTAAATCTATGGTTCGAACCCCGGTGTGAAGTGTGTAGAAATACTCGCTAATCGTGTGTGTTCAGTAGTTGCGGAATAGGTGGATGTTGATCACGGTGAACTGAACCGCCACAGCGCAAACAGTGTCCATGAGCTCCACAATCTTTGAAGCCGATCGGCTGGATAAAGATTCATGAATAACTCACCTCCAAGCATTTAGATGGAGATTAATATATACGTTTGCTTACATTTAAATGAAATGTCACCAATTCAACGACAGGTAGGCAAACATAAACTTTGGCGACATAAAAAATCTTCTGAATAGCTACGTCCTTTACTGGTTGAATAACAAGTGGGAAATAGCTCTTGACTGCCCCAATGCGCACAGGTGGTTAGAACCGAACGAAACAGTGTTGGGATATATAGCAAAATTAACTTCAATCTGAAGGTCTATATCAGACCAGAAGTTTCAAAAGTTAAAAGTGCAGCTCTTTTTGCTGAATCAGAAAACACCAAAGTATATTTATCTACTTCTTGTTGACTAACCAAGAGTTCTTCATCTTTCTCCTGTGTTGTTTTCTAATCAGTTGGTGGATATCCGTCTTCCCAAGTAACTCACGAATACTACACCCAACAGTCGAATCAACCACTGCCCTCGCAGACACAACAGCAGCAACAACAACACCAGACGGAACAAAAAGTATACAATTATTCCCAGCCCTACTAACTGGCTGGTGTTCAGTTATCCCCAGCTTGGCGACACTTGGTTGTGCAACGTTTATTTATCTTTCAGTCGCCTTTCCAGTCACCTTCAAAAATTCCTGTTGACCATACCTTCCGCTTTTACCCACGTGTTTTGTTCTTCTCGGACATCATAGCGATCCCCGAAATCACAGTTACGAATAACCTTGTTTTCTTGTATCGACTCCGTCATAGTTCTTTGAAGTAAACAAGGCTTACGAATTCATCTTCACAGTTAGCGAAATTCCACCTGCCTTGACCTTTTATCCAACTCTGTTTACGTTGAATGCGACGTCAAGCAGCTTTCCTATGGTTGTGATTCACCAAAATTGTATTGCCATTTGGCTTTATCATGAGTTTATATACCGTTGCCATTTATCGAAACTGTGCTCAATAACTCTCATTTTTATCGCTTTTCAGGATGGCAGATTCAGTTTCAATCAGCTCATTTTCCAGAAGTCTTGTTGGCTGTTTGTCATGAAGAGCGACCTGGTAAATTAACAATGACCAGGGTATATTTATTAGAAGAGAATGATGCTTGGGGATAGAAATATATACCACCCCGTTGTTGGTAGTCAGGAGTTTCGGAATCTTTAAAAGCCTGCAACGTAAACCAACCTTAAACGGAAAGCCAACAAGTTCCAAAAATATGTTTCGTGCCACAACGAATGTGAGCTCCAAAACTTTCTAAGGTGACTCAAAACCGCGAACCTCTACACCGTATTTTTGGCAGTAGCACAATGCTACCAGTAACTGTACGTTTAAAGTTTAGTAGGGTAGCGCAACATTATTCATGCTCCAACCACGCTGTTCATCTGCCTTCAGTTGACTGCATGACCGTGGCTTCACTGAACAGGGTCCTTGCGAATTTCGGGATTCTTTGCCGCCTGAACAGAATAACCAATCTAATAGACTTCTAAAATCTCTGAATGTCCAGATATGGAGGCAAGCATTTATTCTCTGGCTAAGGATAGGAATGTTTTTCTGCTTATCACGGAAGTCACGTCACTGCTACATGGTGACTCAAAACGCTGTTGGATTGTTCTGATGTATGTGGCCCCTAAACTTCTCAACCATGTCTTTTCTTTACTGCCAGGTCAGCCAACATCAGTCGGACATTTTGATTGATTGTTTAATGTAGTTATCTGCCTATCTGAGCGCGACTTAATCACTTGCCCACCAGTCATTCGTGGCCGAACCGTTACGTATTCAAACTACCTACCGGGACATCGCACGTTTGAAGCTACCTGCAGTTTTGTGAGGTGAGTACTGCTTATGGCTCTCAGAAGGATGGAACAGTTGCACGAAGCTTCTCGGCTTTTTATCTCAAGATGCTTTCAGTTGGACAGTTAATAATACCTGATAAAGCAACAAACCAGCTGCTACAAATAGCCATCCATACAAGACAGAATCCCGATTTATGAATAGTTTTCACGCAGTTCTGAACGCGAAAACAATATGACCGACATGACGTTTTATTAAAGTGCAGTGCATTAATCACAAGCATGGGCATAGTTGTAAAATGCGTGCCTATGAAGACACAGAAAGTATGATCCGGTATTCTGTTTAGATCTCATTTGGAAGTGGAACATTTCTGTTCTAGAAGTTTTCTCTGAGAAGTCGTAACTTGAAGAACCAGTCAACATATGACCACATAATGTGGGTTCTGAGACCGAAGAATTATTGATGGTCCTGTCTAAGTGAGAGCTGATCAGCCGCTTGTGCTCGGTCATTAGCCGAAAGCCGAGGGTTCGAAACTCTGAGTTTCGTGAGATGCGAATTGTTGATGATTTCCAATAGAAATGAAACAGCTATGCAGTGCTTTTCGGCTTCCCAGCGTAGAATGAATCACTGACAGGATGAAATTCCCATTGTAAATTATCAAGTCTACTCACCGCCATTAATCGTTTATCTACTGTGCGACTATCACAAAAACCGGATCCATCCCTTATTGGTACAGGCAAAATCCAACCTGCTTTGAAAACGCTCACATGTAGGGAGCATATTTACTGACGTAAGCTTTGCATCCTTTTCAGACATACGAACGAATAGTGGCCCTAGTCATGACATAGCAAAATGACGTAAACATAGCTAGTTTCAACTACAGCCTTTCCGGCTGAGGTTCACCTTATCCTCTGCGATTAAAAGTGCCGCAGGCCACTGTCCGTTCCTTGTCTGTCCGTTTAGCCTGTTGTCATGCAATGGGTAAGATTCACACAGGATGCTACTTCCAATCTTCAGGTGGTTTCTTGCTGCTACATGATGCTCGAAAGTGTTTATCTCATTGTTTTTGGAAGACGTAAGCACCTTGCTCTTGTTAATTTTACCCGAGGATATAGAGCTTCCTACAATAAGGTCCTATACATTCTCCCCCTTACGCCTTTTTCACCCGAGCCTTAATCTGTGGGTTTAATTGAGTTATGCAGCACCTCCACTGCCGATATACTACTGTTCACGAAGATGGTGTCGATTATAATGCACACTCAGTGTTTGAGAGAAATACGCTTCGGCTGAAACATCGGTATAAGGTAGAGCCATTTAACGGACGTGAACAACGCTCAGTCAGTAAACACGTAGGTTCATCGGTACCTACGACGATGACAAGAGGTTGAATCAGAAAACGCAACCAGCTGCATTCGTTGGCCTGTAACAATTGGAACCCGACCTTTCTTCTGTATTTGGTGTGTGAGCAGGATGCGGCGACCAAGCGTTTCGCAGTAACTCACTGCCATGCTATAGGTAGTAGATAATAGATGGGAAAATCTTCTGCTCTCAAAGCCGCGGAGAGGACGTCGTCTGCCTTTCAGCGCCAAAAATCGTTTGTTTGCCACATTTGTCTGATTTGCATACTGTCTAGCGTGTGGCGGACAATGCGCTTTTTTGGCGTATTGAAATCGGGCGCTATGGATCATGATGAATGTTTAGTTTAGTTCTCTACGCTTTTAAGAATCAACAGGTAAGACATCTTACCTTTAGATGAATGCGGCGCTGTCCCGTAGGGCCTAGAGACAGTTATGAGCGTTGACTCCAAGTTTTATTCCCTGAATCCTATGACCTGTTTTTATTCCTTCACGGTTTTTGCAGTACTCAGCGTGCCATTAGCTGATGGACTGTAAAATACATTTAAGTGTAAGATACCGATTCGGTACGAAAAAGATCCAGGCCTCTTCTTCTTCAGATGCCAATGCTTTTGAGAAAGTAAATCTGAATACCAGCCACTTAATGAGCACAGTAACCGTAATGTCATTGTGATTTATTATGGCTGACTTGATAAAAGCACTTCTTTTATGTGGTGGTCCAGGTGTCAATGAACAGTTTGCTTTGGTGAATTCTGCATTGGATAGTTGATTGTTACTCACACAAGCCGCTAATCCCTTTAGGTCAGCGAGTGGAGTAGCAGCAAGCTTCGCAAACATTTAGTGCAACAATGACGCTACTAGACTTACAGTGGCCAACTTAGTTCGGCGTGAAGAAGGGTGTGGGCGGTTTTCAACCGCGCATTTGTGACTAATTTAATTACGCATTTTCAAAGCCGGGCCCATGCACATGACTGATACTGTATTCATTGCCTTATTCATTATTCTCTTGTTTTAATATTCCATATGCTGTATGTATGCACCAGTTCGAATACAAACGTGCTTGTTGTTACGCTGCGCTGAATTCTGGATTTCTAGTTCGTCCGGTTATATCGATATACGTACGAAACAAAATTCTCACATTTTGGCGTCGCGATTGGAACAGTTCATCATGCCAGCCGAAATGGAACCATTAGATGTTAATTCAACTACGCGTGACGCGGAGGATTATTTGGAACGGTTCGACATATGGTGCCTCACAAAATCCGATATGTATGATAAGAAGTTCATCGCATATTTCCTACATTTCGTTGGCAAGGAGGCGTATACGTTGCCTCCAAACCGCACACCAGGCGTGGTGGTGTTTAAGTACCCCCAGACGTGTACACTGATGTTCTCACGGGTACGTTTCTGTGTACCTAGAGTAAAAAATAAGTTCCATCACAGATATCACCAAGTTCTTCTAGAGAGTATATTTGCTTGTCCTTACCTTCAGAGCGGAAGGCTTGGGCTCCTGCACAACAGTCTGGCGTTGCTTTGTCGGCGGGTGCAAAAATAACTCCGACTTGTGTCGTCCAAAATTCTTTACTTTGCGATCCTCTTTACTTCACTTCTGACCGATGATTCTCTAATTCTGATATCTCGGGCCCCAAAATTTGCCCGTAGATCAGTGTCCCGTCAGTCTCCTTGAAGGAGACAGCGTTGTAGTGCACGGTTGAACTGTAAGTGCGGAGGACATGATAATGCCATCCATTATTTCACTCTGTCATCATCTAAGCGAACTATTAGTGAACAGTGTAAGCGTTTACACAGAACTTCAAACTTTACCCCAAAACCTTCGACGTGTGGTATTAGGTATCGCTGTTTCCAGATGGGTTTCGCTTATCTTTCTAGACTGGTCAAAGTTGTGCCTTCTCGTAGCTTTTACATAGAAAAATGCACTTTCCATACTTAAAATTTTTCACATGGAACTACATAACTACAGCCAAATAGCCACACATTAATTAGCTGTGCCAGTCTTGTGGACGATACCATTCCAGATATTCATGCCCCCACTGACGAGCGAAGTGTTTAAGCTGCAGGTAAAACAGGACACATTCAACTTTTCGGTGAGCCCTAGAAAGAGTTTCACTCAACTTCTGACCCAAATACTGACGTGAAGGCATTATCTGAAGATATTTCCACTCTTTCTCTATCTGTTTTGTCCCAAAATTCGTCACATGTTTTTAAAACGTTGATATCCGCTTCTGGTCAAAAACATGACTTTATTGTTGATACTGGTAGTGTTGAGTCCATCATTCCACAATTAGATCTAACTGCATTCTACCCCAGTGCCGTGATAGTGCCTACAGATATTAACATTCGCGGTATCACAGGACATTCTGTACCTCTCGTCGTTGCACGATCCCTGTGGGGTTACCCCAAGGTACCTCTATCGATTGCAATTTTTTTGGTTTCAACGTCGAGACCGTCGATTATCGGACTCAAAGTTCTGCGCTCACTGCAAACAAGTATCACTTTACTGACTTCTGTGAGTGAAAATGCACTCAAACAACTGATTCTGAAATTTCCTAAGGCTGCAGGTGGCATGCAAATTCCAAAGGTGAGTCTTGAAGTTACAGGTGAGCCTATATTTCTTAAGAGACGGATTATTCCATTTGGCTTACGCGAGCCTGTTCGTCAAGCACTAAATTCAATGTGTGCGAAAGGAATACTGACTCCTGT